CCACTGGATGGATACACGATCAAATACGTTCCTAGTGGAGGGGTTAGTCAAACCACTCGTGTAGATGGAGATGTGAAAACAACGACGTTGACTTCACTGGAGAAATACACTTGGTATACTGTAACGGTATTAGTAAGGAATAGTCKGTATGATGGCCCAGAGAGTACAGTTTCAAGAAAAAGAACAATGGAAGATGGTAGATATAAATATCGACTGATAGATGGACGACTTAGTCACATGAAAGTACCATGCACATACACTGTAAAACCTTGGTCTCTATTAAAGGCACACTATAACCCCGTCCACACATATCCGGATATATTTTTGAAAACGGAATGTTTTCTTTGTGGTTTGGCCTCGAAAACGCACATTTTGGATAGCGCTACGGTGTGGTCGAGAATTGTTTGGAAAACGGAATTTAAAAAATTGAAAATATCCTAAATGTTACCACGTGTTGTATAGTGAAACAAAGCAATCTTAAAACATGATTTCATGATTATGCAGTAAAAGACTGACAAAGTAAGATCACATCAATACTGAGGGAATAGACTATGATTGGCTGAGGTCTACGTGCTATTGTTTCTGCTCACTCCTGATTAGTTWCACCTTTCATTTTGCATCGTCATTGCTTAACTTTGTAAAAGTGGTCCCAGTTAGCGTGTCCTAACTGAAAATTAAAATTCCTTTTTAATTTTTACGCAGCTCCGTCGTGTTCTCCAACGCTTCTTACAGCCAAAGCTACCACCTCGACCAGTATTGTTRTCAMTTGGACACCTTTGTCGGCAAACACGAAATGCTTGAATGGTGTTCTGAGGAAGTATAAAGTGTACTACAGAAAGACAAGTGGAGGGCCATCCAATTCGCCTATTTCTGTTGTCAAATGGTCTTCATCCAAAGAAATTTCAGGACTAGATAAATACACGAGATACGAGTTTCAAGTTCTCGCTTGCACTGTTGGTGATGGTCCGCGAAGTAATGCTTTACAGGAAACAACTAATCAGGATGGTAAGCCGGTTCAATACCATTTCTCATGTGTCTATATCTGTCTGTTTGCCTGTCTGTCATTCTGTCTGTCTGTCTGTCATTCTGTCTGTTTGTCTGTCTGTCATTCTGTCTGTCTGTCATTCTGTCTGTCTGTCTGTCTATCTGTCTGACGGTGCAAAAGTGTGGAACTCGTTACCCCAAAGTGTCAGACTGTCCAATAATTTAAAATCTTTTAAGAGGAATCTTTCGTCTGTTGGTCCTTAACACTTTAATTACTATAATATTTTTGGGGGGTAGATGATAATTTTTTTCATAATCTGTCTATATATTCTTAACGTTATTATCAATTTTTGATATCTATTACCTATCAACTCGGTTTTCATGAAAACCAATTTGTACATTGATGAAATTTCCCGAGATTAAATAAAAGACATCTCTCTCTCTCTGTCTCTGTCTCTCTCTCTCTCTCTCTCAGAGATGTTGTCCCTCTTGATACCTTAATACTTATGTATAAGGCTCTTATTCAACCGTTATTTGATTACTGTGATCTTGTTTGGAGTAATTTAAACAAAGGCCAAGCAGACCGACTTCAAAAGTTGCAGAACAGAGCTGCCCGAATCATAACCTTTCAGGGCTATGACATAAGG